ATGAAGGGAATGGTTTAAAAAGAAACATTGAAAAAGGTTTTTTTATTCAAAATGATCTGATAAAAATATAAATAAGTTACAAAATTGTCAACTAACAATATTTCATTGTGGATTGATAAAAAGATGACTTAAGTTTTTTTTTTTTTCAAAAAATCTAACTAACGTTGTTAATTGATTTTAAATTATTTTATTTTAAACAAACAATCAAGAGAAAATGACATTAAAATCCTTTTAAATTATCTAAATGATATTTTGGTCTCTTAAAATGTTATAATTCTCCTAAAGTCTCTAAGAACTTTTTTGTCATTAAGGAATTAATATAAAAGACCAAATTGCCTTTGATTGAAATAAAAATTCCAAGCCTCAAAATAAAAAACTTGTGAACTTGTGAATTGCTGTTGAATTCTTGCTATTTTGAGAAAAAAATGTGTGAATATTAAAAAAAAGTGTGAATGACAATTGATATTTACAATATTTGAGAAATATAAGAATTTTAAATGCAAACTTGTGAATTGTTGAATTCTTGTGAATTTAAGAAGAAAAGTTATTGATCTTTGAATAAAATTTGTAAATAATAAATGATATTTGCAACACTTAAGGAATATTAGAATTTTAAATATAAACTTGTAAATTGTTGTTGAATTCTTGCAAATTTAAAAAGAAAAGTTATCAATTTTATAATAAAACTTGTGAATGACAATTAATATTTGCAATGCTTGAAAATATTAGGATTTTAAATGCGAATTTGTAAATTGCTGTTGAATTCTTATGATTTTAAGAAGAAGAGTTGTCAATCTTAGAACAAAATTTATAAATCAAGGGCATGAAGTATCTGTTCTGAGGCTTAATTTGGCCTTTTATATTAATTTCTTAATGGTAGAAAAGTTTCTAGAGACCTTAAAAGAATTATGTCATTTTGAGTTATCAAAATATCATTTACATGATTTAGAGAAATTTTATTGTTATTTTCCCAACAATCAAATACTCTGTAATTACATTCATAGGGCGGGACGAGTCTTGGTCAATCAGGAACAAATAAAATGATGATTATTAAAGCAAACCTTGACCAGTACTATACACATATGTAATCTGTTGTTATCATGGTTTGGTATCAGGCAGTTTATTTACAGTTGATAATTCAGGAAAATCGAGTTTAATCAAACCAGGCTTATTTGATTGAGTTTAAAGTATCATACTTTTTAAAATAAGCTCATGTAACTATGCCTGACCCTAATGTCTTTAGGTTTTAGGCTTATTTGAGCTAGCCCGAATACTCAAAACTTTTACTTTTTTTATCCTTTTTAAAATGATTTCAATTTTTAATATAAAAATTAATTTTTTTTAAAATAGTAAAATATATGTGATAAATCATAAAAATTACATCAATGTTAATAAAAAAATCTATAAATTTAATTACCTAATTTAACAACAAAGTCATGACACTAATAAAGCTTGCAAAGGTTCAAACAACTTGAAAGTAAGAGCTTAATAGTACATAATTGCATAATTCATTCATAAAGAAAGATGAAAATTTAACAATAAAGTTTGAAACATCATGCTATCAATTTTGTTTAATTTCCTACTCATCTTAACATTATCATTATCATCTAAAACTACATTTGAATTCTCAGTGGGCATATCAACGAGTGAAATTTCTTCAGATGATTTACTCTCATTTTCAATCACCATTTCATTATCTGTAATGAATGAATAAGTTTTATTAATGAAATTGGTTTATAATCAAGAAACAATATATATATATATATATAAGCATATATTACCATCATTTTTAAAACCACGCCACCAATTACGAGTAAAAATAAGAGCCTAAAAATTATTAGGAAGAAGATTACTCCAGTGTTTTGCAATAACATGTAAACCAATGCTAAATATAGATTCACTTGTCACTATAGTGATTGGAATGTTAAGAATATCAACTATCATCTTTGAAAGTATTGAAAATCTATCCTTATTAATATTCCACCAATTAAGTACATCTAATTATTGATATATATGAGGCTGAAGTATTGCTTTATCCAGATAAAATTCTAGCTCACACTTGCCAACAGACATAAAATCCATCGTATAACTAGAATTCTAGGTAAAACATGCTCATATCGATAGGGTTTCATATTTGAATGATTTGTTTGTTATCCTAGTGTGTGGTTAATTACCTTATGACAGTTGTTAATTTTCTTACTGTGCTTGTTTGTTACAACATTGACTTGAAAGAATTCCAAGGGTTTGTTTCATATTGATAAAACATGCTCATACTGGTAGGATTTCATATATTTGAATTACTTGTTTATCACCTTAGTGTGTGTGGTTAATTGTCCTACAATAATTGTTAATTTTTCTACCACACTTGTTTATTACAATATTGACTTGAAAGAATTCCAAATGTTGGTTTCATACCAATAGAACATGCTCATATCGACAGTAATTACCTTATGATAATTACTAATTTCTTTATTACACTTATTTTTTATTATATTGACTGGTAAAAATTTTCAAGTGTTGGTAATGTCTGAATGACTTGTTTGTTACCCTACTATGTGATGTTCATTATCCTATCGCATATTATTAATTTTTCTACCTCACTTTTTCTTTACAGCAAGCATATATGGCAGAGGAACTGAAAAAGAGGTATCGGTATGCAACAGATGTACTGGCATGAGAGGCATATATCAATATGAGTCTTCAATAAGCATAGAGGAGTAGCTGAGAAGAAGATACCAATATGTAACACGTATACCAATAAGAATGACATATACCAATATCAAATGCTCAACGAAACCCTATTTTGCATATAAACTAAAGACAGCACAATGTTGACCAAAAGAAGCTATAAGGTCAAGGGCAACGCCCAATTGGTTGGTGACTCTGTCAAGGAAGATTTTTTGGTAGGAACTTTGATGATGAAAGTGTCGTTGATCTTTAAACTTAAAAGTTTGGGAAGCTTAGGTGCGTTGTCATCTTCTATATGTTTACAAGACATGTGCATTATGGTTGAGCTAATGGACTTGTTTTTACAGTGAGGGACAATATTGTCATTTGATTATGAAATTTAATCTCAAATATATGCCCTTGCCTTGCAATGATACATTAGAATTTTTGGAGTCTTCTTTTTTAATAAGTATGTTCAAAGGGTCCTTAATGAACTTTTCCCTTTAATCTATTATATAATAAAAGTTTGATTTCTTAATTTTATCAAATATCATTTTATACATATTTATTTCAATCATTATTTAAAATAAAGTATCATTTCATTCAGATTTATTTTAGTCATTATTTAAACCACTTTTTTGGTTTATATGTTTAAATATTTATAAAAGCAATCCAAGCTAATTTAGAAACCAACAACCCAACTTGCACACTAAAGCTTTTTTTTTTTTTATCTAGAAAAGGAGGCCAAACAGCCAAAGAAATCCTACCTACTTGTATGTATGTATGTATGTATGTATGTGTATGTACATGGATAATGTAACTTTTACTTTATTAAATTTTTCTCAATTATTGATATGGTCCATCATTTTTTATCAATTTAATCTTTTAAGTTTACTTCTATCATCAATTTAATCCTTATTATTTAAAAAAGAGGTTATGCTATTAAAATTTGTTGATATAAAAAATAAAATATTAATGGCAGTTATGTAAATTAATGAAAAAAGTATAGTTATTCATGTAGACTTTAAAATTTTTTAAAAATAAGAGAACAAAACACAATATAAGAGATTGTATTGACAAAAATTAAATGTATTTAAGAGTTAATATATTCTCATTTAATTATATATACATTTTAAGTCACCAATATACTTTACGTATTAGAATATTTTGAAAAACAATTTATGTTCTAAAATTTAAAGGACACACATAGTAATTTAATAAAATACCAAAGATCAAGTCAATAAAAATTAAACTCAAAAGATTAAATTGATAGTTAAAGCAAATTTAAAAAATTAAAATTTTCATTATTCTTATTTTTTTTCCATAAAATATGATATAATGATATGCTATTGTATATATTTACTGAAATATTGATAAAAAAACTGAATTTCAAACCATAAAATATAAAGGATGAAGGACTATTAAGAGTTTTAATCTGAACAATCTAAATTTTTATATTTAATAAAATAAAAAATTTAAATTTTAATAAATTTATTCTATCATCAATCTGGATAATATAGATTTAATTTGAACAATAAATTTAATATTAAATATTTTTATAATTTTTATAAATTGACTATACAAATATACTATGAACAGGTTAAATTTAAAATTTTTAAATTATATTTTTTTAAACTCCAATTTGAATATTATCTTTATTTTTTTAATATTATATTTACTAAAATTAAATTTTTTAAAAAATTTAATTTTAAATTCATATTGTTTAAAATATATATGCGTAGTCAATTTATAAAAATTATAAAAATATTTAATATTAAATTTATTAGCCAGATTAAATTTACATTATCTAAATTGATAATAGAGTAGATTTATTAAAATTTAAAATTTTTATTTTATTAAATATATATAAAATATAAAAATGTGAATCATTTAAATTAAAACTCTAAACAATTTAAATTGCTTATTATGTGACGAGTACTGAAATCCATCTGAGGTGAAAGGATCTTGTAACACGCATTTCCCACTGCGATATTTACACCATGACTCGATGCATCAAGCCCCAAAAGAAGCTCATCAACACCATCTGGACCCCATCACTCATTAAATTTATTTTTTATTTGATGTTGGCCATTTAGGGGGGGCGGACAAAAAAGCCCATCAACTTCACGTAGGTGATGGTTTTTTTTTTTTAAATTTTTTTATCATCATTTTTTCTTTACTTTTTAATCATGACTATTAATATCATTGCATTAAATTAATTTGTTATAGTTATAAATTTAACAAACAGTCATGATTAAAAATTAAAAGAAGAAAAAAAAAGGTTAAAAAAATAGATACCCTTCCCACCAGGGATGGATCTAGAAGCTAATAAATAAAAATAAAACATTAAATGAGAATCTAGATTTGAAATTTTTACAAACAAGACTGACAATTTTTACAAAAAAGCATCCAAGCACCCCTCCTTGCCTCCCTTGGATCCGTCTCTGCTTCCCAACACCCCCCCCCACCCCTTTTTCATTTTTCTTAAATTAACGCACCAGCAAAGCTTTATCCCAAAATGACGCCGAAAGGTAGCATAGAGTTTGGGAGTCACGGGAGTTCATCAGAAAAGACCATATCCGGCCCAGGCCCATTCCGAATCGCTCCCGGGTCGCGGAGATGACACGTTTGACCGAGACGACGAGCTAGACGTCGTTGAGTCGTGGAATGGCGAGAGAGATTTGCTGGACGACAAGGACCACCGAGCTAGTGTCTCGACGTCCGATGTGTAATCCGACTTTACCGCGGGCCTTTGAAGCTTCTTCCTGCTTGTCATTCGCCTAAGCAAAGGCGACAAGAAACAGCCGGTCGACACACTCTCGGGTCGGGCCAGGAGGGGCCTTTCAAACCGCCACCGCTCAGACCGAATCCGTGGACTGGACCGGAAGGACCTGGGCCGGGGCTCCACCGGAGAAAACATGTAGTACCCGGCCGGTGGCGGCTTCAACTGAGATGAATTCAGTTCCGATGATCGGCGATGGTCGAATGACTGAGCCCTCGACTGCGAAAGTGGCTTGGGTTTCTGGTGAGCGTGGTTTTGCGGAGCTCTGGGGACTCCAGGTTTCACCTCCCATTTGAACGGTACAGCTCCAGGCTTCTTGAAAGAATCATCCACAGTCATTGTTGGAGGCGTTGAGTAATTAATTATTTAAAACCAAGCTGAGAAATTTTTGTCTCTGGATTTCCAAAATGCGAACGTCAATTTATATGGAACGAGAATGACAGTGACACGGCTGGTAACGGCGAGATCAAAGGCATGGATTAGTGAAAGTCAGTGGGTCCGAGTCTGTTTATGAAGCATGACTTTTCTGTTTGTTATGTTACATGCCATGTGAGTAAGTTTTGTATTCTTGGACTTCGTGGGAACAAGTTTTAGATTAAAACGTCTTTTAAGATTTTGATTCCACCACGTATGTTATCTTATTGAGAGGAAGAGAAATCAGAAAGCGACTCTTCCTCAGTTTAAGGGCGCTGATTTTTCCATTTTTGGTGGCTTTAGACTCAGTGGCGGCACCAGAACCTCCGCTCAGGATGCAATATAATAAAAAAATAAATAATTTAAAAATAAAATATGGTAATTAAAATTTAATTTTATATATTATAATTGTGTTTTCGTAAACATTGAATATGACATAAAAGATAAATAATTTTTTAAAAATTGTTGTCAAAAATTTGAATGTGATATATGAAAATGAAAAATAAATAAGAGCATATTCAATATAAAATTTGTGAGTTTACATTTTACTTTTAAAGTTTATGATTTATGTATAAAAAACTATTTAAATAAAATATATTTAGATATTTAGATATCAATCAAAAGTAGGTGGCTTCAAAAAATAAGTATAATGGTGCAAAATATCAAGAATATAGGAGATGTATAAACTTAAATCTTATACAATCTACTTGCGAAATGAAGTATTTTCATTTTTTTAATGTAAAATAAATAGTATTTTGTAGAATGAATAGAAAGGATGTAGTTCGCTATTTTACTCTTCCAGACTTTTCTAACCTACGTGGTAAAACTTTCAACATTGAACTCTTTAGTTTCTCTCTCACTCCAGGGGTTCAAGGTTTTATGTTTAATGGTGCAAAGCATTAACATCTTTTTACTCACTTCGAATTATTTCCAATTGAGGCGCGGGCGGGCTTTGCCAATGGCTTTAGTACGTGCGTGGTTATTTCTGACCCGAGAATCCCAACTCATGTTGGCACATTGGAAGCTTCGAAGTCATATTTCATTCAGCCATCATCAAAGGGCACACATTGGACCCATGTGCAATTATTTAGAAGAGGAGCACTATAGGTGCTACTCATATTTGAAAATCCAAGTTCTCTTGAACGCATGCTCTAGCCTCGTGATGACGCTCACGCTCATGTGAGAATGCGTAATGGATTATGGATGTGCCCTGTTGGGTGATATGAGTGATTAAGGTTATAACCGGTAATTTTTGTTTCTGCCCACCTTACCAGACCAAGAACGAGACAGTAATCAAGGTGTCTAATCCTGAAGAGTGTCATTATAGGTATGTCCTAATTCTTCATAACACCAGAAAAACCATATATTGGGGACATTGTCATAACATAAACCAAAATTCCAAGGTGTTATCATTTTTAGCACTTTCTGCTTCCTCGTCCTGTAATAATCTCGGGCGTGCCTCGTTCCCATTTCATTCATTGGAGCAACGAGATAGATGCATAACCAAGTACCTGTAATGCACGAGACCCAGCTTAGTTGGAAGTAAAAGTAGAAATCCAACCATTGCAGCATAGGAGCGAGCTGATCACTGTGTGACTGCTCCCGTGTTTACTGGAGAAACCGCATCATTCTTAATATCCACTTTATAAATTGTTGGCTCTTTAATTTGATAATTAACCAGTCAAAATGACTGGCTTCAAACCAAAGGTGGGGAGAAGTCTGATTTTGGTGAGTGGGATTTGCAGCATGCAGCTGGAATGCTGAATATCAAGTAGTCTTTCTAGTTTCTAGTCTCTCGTCTACCTAGTTGTCATGAAAAAAGTCCACAAGCAACGAGTAAGAAATAGAGCCAACACATTCCTTTGAGAAAAACTTTTCTAGCTAATAGAAAATTCATGCTCAAAATCATTAGAATATCGAATGAATGGCCTCAAAACTTCTGAATGTACAGCAATCCAGGGGTCACAAGAACTTGTCTGCTTCCACAGAATATTCTTGCCTTCTGTGCATCTGACAAATCATCTACTTCAGCAGAAAATTTCTTGCGAAACAAAGGCTTGACTGTTGTATTACCTTTGTATGTTCTTAACTAAACTTACCTTTATCCCTTCACTTTAAAGAGGAAAGCCTTCATTAAAAAACGTCGGCTCCTTATTTCTACTATTGGGTCAACCCTGCAAAATGTAAAGAAAGCGCCTGGCAGTGAACAATTGCCAAAGCCCAAAACTTTTGTACCCCAAATTTTTTTTTTTAAAACAATGATCTAGAAATATTATTTTAAAAAACATAATTTTAAATTCCTGCACTTCATTCGAGTTTTATTATAGGTGCCTACACTTTTTTTTTAGTATTTTAGATTCCTACATTTTTATTTTTCAGTATTTTAGATCTCTCCATGAGTGGTGTTATGAGGACCTAAAATATCAAAAAAAAAAATGTAAAAACCTAAAACACTAAAAAAAAATGCAAAGACTTATGACAAAACTTGAGTAAAGTACAAGGCTCAAAGCTATTGTTTTCTTTTTTTCTTTTTATAGCTAAGGTGTGCCTTTAGTTTTTTAATTTTATATAAGATTTCAATTTAGTCTCTTAATTTTATAAAATATATTTTTAGTTTATTAATCCTAACACTGGTAATTTCAAATGGTTATATTATTTTGTGTCAATTATGGTTATTTAAAAAAAATTAAACTCAGTATATCACCTTTTGAAAATGTTTTTGAAAAAAGTAACAATGTTAGGGTTATAGAATTGAAAAAACGTTTTATAAAATTATAGGACTAAAATGAAACCTATATTAAGTTAAAGAATCAAAAATATACTTTAGTTTTTTTTTTTGTTGCTCAAGATATCCCCATAACCAATAGCCATGAGACTAACACATTGAGCCTTGAGTAATTTAAGTGTCATTCAAGGAGCTGTCCTCTTCTAAATGATGTTTTTCCATGCACACCTCTAGGAATCAAACTTTGAAATGATAATAATATTTTAGAGACTTAAACTGCTACTGTCTATAGTACATTCACTTGGTCTTTGGCCTTTTTTTATTGATAAACAAATTACCTATAAAAACTACGATTGTGAGACAAAACTATCATGTTAAAAATAATGACTAAATCTTAAAGATATAATAATATACCATGCATATCTCAAGGTTGAAGGGCTTGTGGAGGAGGCATAGAATATAATTTTAATATCAGATAAACTTATAGTGTGGCCATTTTAATCTCTACAATTTCCACCTCATCATCACAATTCATCCTTCTTCTTGATAGTGACATGGACATAAATTTTGCACACGTTGAAACAAGTGGTTCTAAAAAAAATTCGTATCAGAGATAAGTTAAGAATGGAAAATAAAGCAACCTAATCATCTTCAACCATCGAATCTGCCTTATCTAGAAAATAAAATTTACATGGTAGACATGGATGATTATCACAATTCTGCCCCACAATGGGGAAGAGATGGTAAAGATAACATGTCTTTTATAGTGCTAGGCATAGAAGCAAAGCTTTTTTCTTATTGAAAAGGGAAACTACATTTAACTAAAGAAACAAGAACAAATAGTCTGAATGAGAATAAGAAACCTAACAAGAAAACAAAGACCAGAGACCACACAAAACTACCTAATAGGTGGTTGGTTAAAAAGATTATAATTAAAAGGAAGCCTATGAGTAAACTTGGCAAGATGATTTGCCATGCAGTTCTCTTCTCTATACATAAAATTTAAATTAATATTTCATTTTCTACACAAAAGTCTCCTCGTCACCTTAATGGTATCCTTAAAAGGATGAAGAATGTGGTTGTCCCTTGTAATTAGCGATAGAGCATGCACATAATCACAAAAAACCTTCACAAACTTGAATCCCTTTTACCAACAAATCTCAAGACCTTTAAAAATACCATAAATCTCAGCAATGGTTCCTAGAACATGCCCTAGCTTGTAATTGAAGCCCTGGATCCAATGTCCACTTACAATTCTTATGAGCCCACTGCAAGTACTTAGACTATTCCCTAAGGTAGACCTAGCAGTCTCTAACAAAATGACACTGTCATACTGATAGTTCCTACCACTATCTGCTCCCAACCTGTGCAAACTAGTAAGCATATTTGATAGCTTGAAATCAACAACAACCTTAAAAAAATAAAGAAAAGGGCTCTTTAAGAGCCTCCTTAACAATTTTATTAAACAGGACCTTACATCTATTTCTCCAAATAAACTAACAAGTATGCGTAAATAGAAAGCTCCAAGAAACACAGTTTGTGCTAGATAATGCCTACTTAGTCTTTCATATTCCAAGTTAACCGATCACACCTTTTTAATTGAAATTTTTTTATAAAGCTAGGACAAACAAAAGTAGTCTGCCATTTCCTAGCATGTTTTCAATCCCGAAGAAAGTGCATAGTATCCTTTACTACCTCTGTACCTCACAACTGATGGGACATAAGCCAATGATGTTGAGGCTTCTACGTAGCCGAAAAGCAATTGAATGGACTCTGTCATGTATGATTTGTTAAAAGAAAGTTTTCATCTTCTTTGAAATGTTCCACCTCCAGATCCTACACCATATAAGATCACGATCGTTCGTCATACCTGTAAGAAGAAAAGAATCACTAGATTTTAATGAAAAAGTTCCGTTAATGGAGTAAAGCCAAAGGTGTTTATCCTCTCCTTTTTCCTTACTGGGGGCTCTTATACTAGTAATATGGTCCACAACATGCCTAGGTAGCCAAGGGCTTATCCTACAAGCATCCTAAACTCTCAGGTAAAGAACATAATTGTAACATCTTAAGTTTTTAACTTAAGTTTTTATAAGATTAATAATGTTTAAGGGATATTAATAAAATTATTGGACCTTTAAATGGCCTTAAAAATGAGCTAAGATGGTGTAAAGATCAACCGAACTTGAATGAAAGGACAAAATGGGATAGGGTACTTGCTGTGCCATGTGTCACCGTGCATGGCCAAATTTAAAAATAAACCAGACGTG